GAAAGGTTTTCCGAAATTACCGCAATCGTATACGCTATATGTCTAATACTTTGCCTAAGTGCAAATATGGTTGTTTACTGCTTAACTCATGCGTTTGTCTTACTTATATCATTTGCTGTTTTTAACAAAATATGGGATCAGTTAATATCTGGTTAACGTGAAGTAGAGGAAAACGAGCAGAGAACATAATTTCAGTAAAAACTAACTTTCGCAGTGCCAAGAACGTGATGAACGTTGTTTGGTATAACACATGATGTCCTTGTGAGTGTAGAAACTGCGGGCACTCAAATAAATACCATGGAGTTAAGATTCGTTGTTAAGTGTCACCCACAGATCACTAGAGGCAAGGAGGTGGTGTGATGACGTTGCGGCATAACCTAATGCAAACGTGTGAGTCAGACCTAAACGGCAGTACTGGTCCAAACTAATTCTAAATGAGTTTAAACCTGTCATGTAAGTAGATTGCTTAAAAAATTAGAGAAGAGGAAGTACATGACTGTTTCCATACATCTAAACTCGTCGTACAGGCAGCAAATAAAAAAAATCGTACGCAGATGATTTATTGCCGGGTTCTCCAGAAATGTGAACGATTTATTAATTCTGAAGCGGTGGATTAACAAAAAATGGTTATGCAAATCAGTTTAGGAGAAGGGCAAAAAAATGTTTACGTTGTCTAGAAGAAAGTACATGAAAATCTTCCATTCATCGGCTTCCACCCTTTAAGCAACAGTAGCGATTTATGACCTACTCAAAAGACGCGTAGGGCGAATGAACTTTGGAAATCGTGAAATCAGTTTTATCATCAGAATCAAAGCATTGCTGTGGAAAAGAAAATATAAAACCGGAAATGCATCTTACCCTCTGAACAAATTATACCATTTATTGTTTATCGCGTTTCACTGTGCGTTGGCACTTACCGAAGCAGGACCTCGCGAAATATCTTATCATTCCCTTGCTTCTAGGTTCTGATCTAAGGGAGATTTAAGCAGACCAGAGCTGAATTTCCTACCCACACGATTCATGTGTATACAGAAATAAGGAGTAATGTCTTTTCTAAAATTACATAATGAATCTGAGTTATGAGCTTAAGCTCAACCGACAAACTAGCCCTTGCCGGTCCCAAACTCGGATGAGAAGGGAGGAGGGAGAATACTTGCCTTCATGGTATTGAAGTGACCGAACATTATACCGGCTCGATCGCAATCCGGTTTACCAAGGGCCGTGCAGTATGCCGAAGGGCTGAAGGACGGGGCGAAAAGTTGGCGATCTGAACCTGCTCATCGTCTTCTGGCAGCCGGGGACACAGCAGCACGACAACGACTGCAGAAGGTCAACAAAATGACAAGGAAGATACCTGTCGGCAATGGAGGCGCTAACCGATCTAAACGGAGGAGACTAACAGTGCGAGCCATTATATAACTTCAGAAAAGGCTCAGCGAGAACGATAACGCAGGTGGAGCTTAAAGTTGGAAATTAGAATATATCCTCACTCAGAGGGAAAGAGCAGAGGCTAGTTGATGAGGCCACAAGGCACCAACTTGATAGAGTTGGA